AAGAGTATGAATCTGAAATAAGCGAAAGAGGTATGTAAGGATCGTGACACTTGGCGATCTGTTCTCTCTGGCTACCCCGTCAGGGATTGTGCGTGAAGGTAAATAAATAAATATAATATCGTATCGTATCGTATAAATATTTGTCAATATTTCTACTATGGTAACATTGCGGTACGAAGTTTGACGGGTCAGCTAGTAATAAATAAAACGAGATTTCTTCCTCGCAATACATTGTTGATTATTTTATTTATTCATATTGTTATTTAATAAACAATCACACAATATAATAAACTTTTGCTTAAGTTTAAAATAAGTTAAAATGGGCTCAAATCAGTCCTAATAAACTTTTACTACTAACCTTACATTTAATTGCGCCGTATTTTTAACTTGGCCTTTTCCTTACATACATTTTATTAAATAAACTCTTAAAATAAAATAACATATTTATTTTTACCTTTGGCAATGCAATGTAAAAAACAAACAAAAACTTGTGTCTGAAGTCGATTCTTTGCTGAACAAAGTCTCGGATTGGGGGCGACTAAATCTAGTCCAGTTCATTCCCCAGAAGACACAAGTTTGCGCGTTTTCCGCTAAAAAGAACCCCTTTGTCGTATCTCCTCAGTTTCAAGGCACTCCCCTTGCTACCTCAGCTAGCATCGGAATCCTCGGCGTCAACCTAAACGAAAAGGGTTGCTAACTTGGGAGATTTTAATTCCCTTGTTTTTTTATTTAAAATAAAAAAATGTTACGTAACGCGTTGGTCGAACCCCCCTCCCGCCCCTGTAACGCATCGTAACGTTTTACAAGACCCCCCCCCTCCCCCCAAATTGCGTTACGTAATACTTGAACGCCCCCTTAGCAGGTTCAAGAAGAAATGAGGCATAATCTAAACGACTTCTTATAATTGCATTATAAATTAATTTTAAAGAATATGGATGGGCGCCCCACCATACTCCGCACAAAGCTCTTAGAATGTTTATATTTTTTCGCATTTTTTTTTTTGGTATAAATGATATGAGGCATACCGGATAATTTATTATCAAGAATTACACCAAGGAATTTAACTTGATGAATATTTTCGAGCGGATAATTAAAAAGGCGAACCTGTATGTCTGGTAAAACTCTGGTATGGTGACGGAATGATTTAGGAATAAATAATGATTTCTTATAAGAAGTTTTAATAGATGAAGCAGCATGTGAAGGAAAATGATCCTTTGAAGGATTAGTAGAAAGAGAAGAATTTATAGGGTTTTTTGAGATCTGAACATCAGCATATGACTTTGATGAAACATGGGGATATGTTTGTGATGCTTCTAGGTATGAGATTGAATTTTGTGCCATTTCAATTTTAATATTATTTTGACGTGTGTGTTCAGGGCATCTAGAATCCGTAGCTTTGTGGTTACCTGAGCAGAATAAGCAACGAAAAGGTCCATTATCTTTATCGCAAGAAGAAGAAGAGTGATCATCGCCACATTTTAAGCATCTTGGCTTGGAACGACATAAATCTTTAGTGTGTCCAAATCTGCAGCACTGAAAACATTGAATCGTTGTAAGTTTATAAATTTCAACAGGGGTGGAAGAATAACAAAAATAAACTCTCGAGGGAAGAATTTGATCGTCAAATGTGACTACGACACTTTCAGAGCTTTCATATCTGAGTTTGTCTTCATTGCATACTCGGTAATTTAATCTTCTTACTTTTAATATAGGAATAGTGTTTGGATACGTAGATAATTCAGAAATAATATCTTCTGGTGTCCAATCTTTTGGTACACCTTTTATAACACCCTTACGAGATACGTGGAAGGATGGAATAAACGTTTTATATTTAACATTTACAGAGGGATTATCTAAAAATAGATTTGCATCAATAAATTTAGAGAATTCAATTGTAATTCTATTCCTCCCGATACGTTTTAGGCCTCCATTAACTATATTTTGAATATTTTATTTTTTCAAAAAGTGACCAAAAGAAATAGCATTTAAAGTCTTACCAGAATTAGGAGAATCTTCTTTTACTTGAACATGCACGGTAAAAGGACTCGAATCTGTAGAATTATAAGGGCGAAGAGATTGAAATTTTTGAGAATCTGTTTTTGCATTATCCCCATTTATACTTGTGTTAAAGAGATTTTGAAGAGATATGACTATAGGCAGAATTTGATGTTTGTGGTAGAGGAATGTCAGATGATTGTGAAAGGGGGATTTCAGATGATTGAGTACACGCAATATTAGATGATAAAGACATGGGAGATTCATAAACACTTTGTCCTGATATGTTACCTTGGTTAGAGTTAGATCCCATAATTTTAATTTTAGATGAAGAAATATTACCAGTATCGTAATCCGATTCTGAGAATGAAGAATTGATGGAAAAAACTGAAATTTTTCTATTTAAGTCAACCCGATTAGCATGTTCTTCTTTCTTCCTTTCTTTCATTTTATGTTTCCTTTTCTTTTTATTGAAAATAATTTTGAAGTTGTCATCAAAAATTTCTTGCGATAATGACTGCCATAGTTTTCTAAATGAACATTCTAAGTCATTTTGAATTTTGACATAAGCAGCTGGAGAGGAATTCGGTCTGAGCAATTCGGATCCGGTGGCTTAGGCGGAATAGATGGATTAGACATGGCGACTATGAAAGTCTAACGCTGCGTTAGACTATTTTCTAATACTAAGAAATTGTCGCTAAATGAGTGATAATATGAAAATACAGATAAATATTATTAATATATACTATAATAAATTAGGAATGTAATCAGAATATTAAAAGAAAACTTAAAATAATTAATATGACACCAAAAATACGTAAAACCGTTATTGACGTTCAGTTGCCAATCTCCGAATACTACTTCAACAGGCGTTAGATCTGTCGAAGAATGAATTGAATGATTGTATCAAGATTGTATGACATAACAGCATACGTCATCACTGACGCTGCGTCTGTAATTTTATGTTCGTATTTCGCGATTCGGTAAATTTCAGTAATAGTTGAATGAAACCTTTCGATAAGTCCCATAGAGTTGTGGTTGTGCGCAGTACCAATGTGTAGATTGATTTTGTATAATGTTAGCATTTCCTTTAAGAGTACGTTATTAAATTCCATACCGGGATCCTGAACTGATTTTGGATGGAATTCCGTAAAATGAAAAATACTTTATTAAAGCTCTTATTACTTCCGGGGTAGACCTACTATTAATTTCAATTGCTTGACCCAATTTGCTGAACGCGTCTATCAGGGTTAGAAAGTACTTGCCTTCTATCGAAAAGGTATCAATGAAAATTTCTTGGAATGGCTTAGACTGGGTTTATGTCAATTGAAGTTGAGGTTTTAGGGGTTTACGGTCGTACTTCATTTTCTTGCAGACCTCACATGAGCTTATAATGCTCGCTACCTTTTGTTTCACATTATTCCAATAAAACGTTCGCCTTAAATGTACTAATGTTTCCCTAATGCCTCTATGGCAATTTTTACCTAAATGATATTTAAGAACTACTTTGCGTTGCTCATTTTCATCTTCTACATAGACTATCCTCTTTGTACATTCATAAAATTTAACACTATCCTTTTTGAATAATTGCGTTGTGACTTCCGAAAACTGCTTGCGGCGTATGACATCTTCGAAATAAAAAAACATTTAATTTTAGGTCTAATATACTCTTTCAAGAATTTTTTAATTAAATCCAAATTGTTTAATGGTAAGTGAACTTCCAATATGTTCTGTTTATCCCTAGACAAGTTTTTAACCGAAGATTCATTTCTGTTCCAGGTATGAACGAGTATTTGATTGGGTTTCGCATCAATTGCTTCTTGGAGAATTAATATTCCTGCTGTGTCTATGTCTTTAGCCGAATTTACTGTATTGTTACTACTGTGTTCTTCAGAAGCTGTGGCGGTGCTACTATTTGGAGATGGTATCGGATATGGAGATTGTCTACCATGTAAAGAGGGAATACTTAACGTTTCCGAATCGGATGATACTGTTACTACGTCCCCCCGCCTGATTCGAATTACCTAGCTGTACAATTTTAGAGACTACATTGCTCAAATGGCGTAGAAGTATTTTTTCGTTTTTGTCTACATGCACTTGCATGGAAACATCATCGTTATCAGTTAAGGCGTTAATCTTAATTCTAGATAAAGCAACAGCGTTACAATTTTGTTTCCCGTTCTTATACACTATTTCGTAATCAAATTCCGATAGGCGTAACTTCCATCTAGTTAGTTTGCTATTCGTTTCATTAATGGAGTTTAACCAGGCTAAAGGGCGATGATCAGTGTAAATTGTAATTTTTTTTTCCATACAAGTAAGGGCGGAAAGGTTTGACTGCCCAAACGATTGCCAAATTTCTTTTTCTATTGTGCTGTATTTCGTTTCAGCATCGTTCAACGTACGACTTGCAAAGGCTATAGGCTTATCACTACCGATAGGTCCCTGCGATAGAACTGCACCGAGAGCAAAGTTCGACACATCTGTGGTGAGAACGAACGGTCGAGAGAAGTCAGGATATTGTAAAAGTGGGGCGTTTGTTAAAAGCTCTTTACATCTTTCAAATGCGTCTATATATTCTTTTGTAATTTCAATTTTGTTTTTCTTTTTCAGGCAAGTGGTAAGCGGTTGTGTAAGTTTAGCGAAGTCTTTAATAAATTTTCTGTAATACCCTACTAATCCGAGAAAACTTTTTATTTCGGTGGCTGTACGCGGTAATGGATATTTTAGTACTGCTTTAATTTTTTCGTCACTTGGTGTTAAACCCTCTTTCGTAATAATATGATCTAGATATAGAACATCTTTTCTCAAAAATTCACATTTATGTAACGTGACTTTTAGATTGGTTTCTCTGAGACGGTCAAAAATGTTCCTTAATTTTTCAATATGTTCCTGAATACTAGCCGAATACACGATTATGTCGTCGAGGTACACTAAGTAATGGAGACCTTGGAGGCCTTTTAAGATATTATCCATTGCTCTTTGGAAAGTTGCAGGGGCTGTCTTTAATCCAAACGGCATGCGTTTGAATTCATAGTGACCGGATTGAGTGTGAAAGCTGTCTTTGGCCTATCAGCTTCATTAACTTCTAATTGGTGGTAGCCACTTGCCAGGTCAAGGGTACTAAAATATACAGATTTGCCTAACTTATCAAAATGGTCAGTTATATTAGGTAACGGGTATTTATCGTCTATTGTATTCTCATTTAATCGCCGATAATCTATAACCATTCTAAATTTAGGCTGCCCGGATGCATCTGGTTTTTTGGGGACTAAGTGAACCGGTGCGCTCCAAGGTGAGTGAGAATTTTGGATTAAGTTATCTTGAAGAAGTTTGTCTACTTATCTTTGTACTTCCTCATTTTGGGAAGGTGGGTGGCGATACGGCCTGATATATATAGAATCTTCGTTAACTGTTCTAATATTATGTTTTACCTGATTTGTAAAAGAAAGCGGAATTTTCTCACTATAAAATATGTCGCGGTATTCATAGCATAATTTAGTTATAGCTTTCCGTTCTTCTTCATTTGTATGATCTAATCGTAGTTTAATTAAATTTTCTTTTAAAATTTCATCTATCTCGCAATCGGAATTTATCACATTTATGGCACACTCATTATTTTCAAATACAGTTACATTAAACGGTTCTATAAATTTAATATTAGCTTTTTCATTCGACACATTTTGAATAATGGTTTCGACGAAGAAATTATCACACTTGATAAGGGCACATGGCATACGAACTCCCTAACTAAATTGTGTAAAATCAATGATTGCGTACCCGTTTTGTAAGTTGGTGGGTATTTTCACTCGTGTTTCCGATCTTGGTTCTAAATTAATGTCATAAGGTGGATTATAAATTATTGGAATTTCAGTATTAGGTGTTCGTAAAATTTAGTGGTTCATATCGATATTAGCTGCCAATTTTTTTAATAAGTCTGACCCAATAAGGCCGTCGTATCTACCGTCCACATCGTATATGTAAAATTTATGTGGAAGAGTACTTTTGAATGTTTTTAAAAGCGGTATAAAAATTATTTCATCGTGCATGCTTTGCGCATGGTTACTTACAACTGTGAAAGGTTCATTGTATTTAAATTCACCAAAATATTGGTTAGCCTTGGCAGGACTAATAAAGGATCTACTGCTTCCGGTATCTATTAGAAATTTCGAATTTATTTCGGGAATTACTATATGAGGTAATTTTAAAATGCTATCGCAATAATTGAGATGGATCATTTCGGAGGGCTTTCGAGGGCTACTATCGGAAAATTTTCAGGTACTGCATTATCTTCATTATTAATTTCATTAAAATTTTCTAGGTATTGACCTTCAAATGAAGGGTCTTCTACAAAACCATCATAGTGGTCGTAGTAGTAACCGTCATTATTATCGTGAGAGAAATCTTGACATGATGTTGAAGGTTCCTCGCTAAAAAACAAATCATTCGTCGTCATGTTTTGCCTAATTGGTGCGGTACGCATAGATACGTTAGTGTCGTAAACGTTTTTGAGCGGTTGATTTTGTATGCCGAATTTGAATTGCTTGGGTTGCTGTTGTATGCCGTATTTAAATTGATTAGGCTGTTGTTGAAATCCGTATTTAAATTGATTAGGCTGTTGTTGAAAGCCGTATTTAAACTGATTAGGCTGTTGTTGATTCTGCATGCCGTATTTTTGAGCTTGATGTTGGGGAATGCCAAATTTAAATCCACCACCTTGGAATGGTGCTCGTGGTTGTTGGGTAAATTGATGATTGAAATTACGTGGCATTGAATTTTGTGGTGATGCAAAATGGTAGCTTTGTTGAGGTGCTGTGAATTTATTCGTATGCATCAAATTAGGCCTATATTCTATCTGGTTATTGGGTACACCAAACTTGAAATTACTATTATTATTATTATTATTATTTGGTGTCAAATTCGAATTTATAAATGCTCTTATAAATTCATTAATGCATCTCACGAAACTTTGCAGAGCTTATTGCTGAACTGGTTTGGCTTTATTGTTTTTGGCGTTATACTGAGCTAAGAAGTTAATTTTCTCTGTGACTATACTTAAAGCTATCTCCAAAGTAGAACAGCCTTTGAGTCGGACAATTCTAATAAGGTCTTCGGGTAAATTGTACAAAAATACGTTCAAAGCGGTATTATTATATATAATCATTTTGGCTGCCTTTATTACTTCATCAAAATGTCTTTGGACTTTAGCAAATAAAGAACTTTTTACATTTTGTATTCTAGTACAAAACTGAATAAATGACTCTCCTTGTTTGATTTTTAGAGATTCTAGTTCGATAGCAATACATTCCTCTGAACGGGGGTCGCCGAAATGCTGGGTCAAAATTTCTTACAAATCCTCCCACGTACTTAAACTAGGGTTATCACCAAGTAGAGTCGCAGCTCTACCACTAAGCTTACTACTTATAGCATGGAATCTATATAAATTTTGAATCGGAGTATTATCGCCTCTTGAATTTAACAAAACATATTCACATTTTGAGATGAATAAATTGAGTCATTTTTCATCTCCATCGTATCTAGGAATCAAATCTAAAATATGTGTTGGAATAACAGTTACTGCCATTTTTATTAAAACTATCTTACTTAATCTAACTTAAACTATTAGCAAGAATATTATCAGCCTATTTTATGCCAACAAAATCAGATAATTGCAAATAATTTGGCCCGACGATTTTAGTCCGGGAAATGCGGAAAAGAATGGGATAAATGTGAACAGGAAGTGAAGAGGTTTACTCAAAATATGTTCAATCCCATGTCCTCCAGTTGATTCTGACCACTTCGATACTGCCGATGATCCAATGCGCGTAATCGATTGATTTGGAAACGATAGCTCGCGCGTCGCGGGAGTTATTTGTTTGGTTCGAGGATATCCGAACCTGACTGCTATACTGACGCTTAAACCGATTTTGGGGTCCGAAAGGCGTTAGCGCGACAGCAGAATATATACGGATATCCTACCGGCTGCACCACTTAAATTGCGACGAACCTCGACAGTCTTTTTAAAAACACAATTTAAAGTATAAAATGATTTAATGTTCTTTCGTGGTGGTTAGTTACAGAATGAATCAATATTAAATGTTAATAAAATAAGTCTAGTACAATTATCATATCGTCTTACATTACTTCAGAGTTATCACTCGAGTTCTCACGCATATGCTGATGCGGCTGTTTGGAATATCGAGCCAGGGACGGGTTGAGGCGATATAACTAACTAGTAAACAAATTAGATAATATACAAAATAAGAATTTAAGACTTATTACCAGCTCTATGAGAACAACTCCTATTATTTCTTTACACGCTGAATGTCTTACTCCTCCTATCTTACTTAGGTTTAAATATCTGAAATTTAGGTTTTTATTAAATATCAATTCTTGGTCACATCATCCTCTTTTTCAAAAAGTATTATTTTACTATAATAGTATGTCTCCTATATCTAACTCAGCCCCATATATACTCCATGACTTTCATGAAGTGATACGATATGATGAACAATATAATATTCACAAAAGCACACATACTTGGCCTTGTTATAAGGGGAATTATGAAAGTTAATTCAGTGATATACACATAAATATTGATAAAAAAAATTGAATAGAAAAGAAGAGGTTTATGAACTTATATCTACATATGATGAATATCGACAAATTTACACAGATGGTTCAAAAGTTGAAAATAAAGTAGCCTGCGCATTTTACATACCTCATCTGAAAATTTGACGTGGCCTTTCCATTCCTACATCAGCAAGCATATACACTGCAGAATGTTATGCTGTCTTAATCGCTCTTAAATATATAGAACAACACCCACATTTATCTAATAAATGGTTACTGATCTCTGATAGCATGAGTGTCTTGAAGGCACTGAAGGCAAGAGCTTTAGATGCTAAAACGTATTTCATCATATATGAAATCAAAAGTTTGTGGTGGAAATTGAAAGAAAATAATTTGGAAGTAAAATTTTTATGGACTCCGTCACATATTGGGGTTCAAGGAAATGAAAGAGCAGACCATTTAGCTAAAAGTATAGTTACAACTGATATTGAAGGGATAACCGATGTTGCAATACCACGTACAGATTTATATTCAATTTTAAAGAAACAGTTAAAAGAAGAATGGGAAATGCAATGGAATGCTGTTTTAGAGGCAGGAAAAGGTCGTTGGTATGCATCAATTAATTCAGAATTAAGTATTCCTTGGTTTTCTCGCAAGGAGAGATATCATAGCAGAAAATTTTATACAATAATGTGCAGACTTAGATTTGGCCACTATCGACTGAACGCTCATCTTTCCAGGATGAGAATAGTAGCATCTGCAACATGCAATTTCTGCAATATAGAAGCAGATCAGACTGCAGAACATATAATATTTAACTGCCCAGCGTACGCCATTGAAAGATTGCTACTCATTGAAAAATTTATAAAGTTTATGAAAACGCAGAAAGTGTCCCGCGTGCCCTGCAAGATGTTCTTAGGAATACTAAGACATATTTAGCACTATGCAATTTTATTCATAATACTGTAAAACAAATATGAAATATGGTATCCCTGTTTTAGAAAATATTGGATTAACAGAGTTTTGGCGGGAAATTGACCGGCGGCGGTTTGCTGCTCCTGTATTATTGTTTAAATAATGGTTTGAAGTGGACTTTGATATGTAAAAGTGTTGCAATTTTGTGTATTAAGTGTCTACGCATGTGAACTATTAGTGGAAACAGTGAAACAAGTGCTCTGATGGTGATGGATTCTCAAGATAAGCTGTTTGTTTGCATAGGCACCTTTAGATACCATCGCCAACTATCAGCTGTCTGCTGGATCAAGTTGCCGCCAAAATCTCCCAAGAACTGCACAATGTGACGCATCAACATATTGTGAAGCAGTATACTATGAAGGAGTGGGGAAATTACAATAAACCGAATAAAAATACTTAAGACTTGGCCTAAAGGTCTAGATACCAGGCCATAAACTCCAAAAAAAATATATTGGATTGACAAATCTACACGGATTGAAACCTACAAAGAATATAATATAAAGAAGACTTGGCTTTAGCCTTTACGGGTTTTTGAAAATATGAAGAATTAAAGAAAATAAGACTTGACTTCGGCCTTTATGGATTTTGAAGAGATGGAAAGAAGAAAAATAAGACCTGGTTCCGGCCTTTACACTTTAAAATTCTACATATTCAAAATAAAAAAGACAAGGCTGTATGGCTT